CATTAAGGGTAACTAACTGGATTGCCAGAGAAGGGAAGTGGGTTAGGGGGAGACAGAAGGTTAGATGGGCAGATGAGATTGAGTTCAGCGGTATAACGTGGCAGCAGCGAGCACAGGATCGGGATGATTTGCGCAACACGATAGACGCTTTGCCCCCTGGCGGTGGACGTGGTCAGTCTGACGAGGATGACGATGCTGCGTGTTTATTCTGTTCCGTTCCAGCGACGCGAGCAGATGCATGCAATCTAGAATGTACGTGTCAAAAGCTACGTTCGGAACGTTCCCGTCCCCTACTGCAGGCTGGCCTTCGGTATACAGTGAGACGACCAAGTATATATGATAGCACTTCCCACAAGACAATGCTTCGGATCATACACAACACTGGCCTTGCAGCACACATTTAATACGCGCACAGAAATGACTCATGCGTAAGTCTGTGTCGCAATGAGAAGAACAATGAAGTCCAATAAAAAAGAGGTGTGCCGGTCACGCGCACCGTTTCTAAATAACTGATCTTTAGATCGTGCGCTTGTCAGTTATCGGTGTTTTCTCATAGGGTTATTCGATCGTTTATTGAAGTTATCGAGGTCGCATGTCATTTGGTGTTGCCGCATGGCATTGTTGCCTGGATGTGAGCGCATGACCATCACTGTTGCACGTATAGTGTCTGAATTATCATGCTGCTAATGATATTGAGCATTTCGATAGAAAGAAAAAAAAGAAGGAAAAAAAGTGTACGTCACACCCCAAGCCCATCGTACCCATAAGGCAAGGTTGGTTGGTTAATTGACCATTATTAAACTGACAACATTCATCATGTAGAATCGCCCATGAAACGGGTGGTGCCTTGATGTATGAATTTGTTTATAAATTGCTAAACATCTTGGGATTATAAAGCAAGAGATGATGATGCCTCTACCATGGCTCAAACCCACTCACGAAGGATTTATTACATGAATACCCGAACTTTTTTCGTCTTATAATAATAATAATAATAATAATAATATAATAATAATAATAATAATAATAATAATAATAATAATAATAATAATAATAATAATAATAATTCTTCTTCTTCTATTATTATTATTATTATTATTATTATTATTATTATTATTATTATTATTATTTCAGATTATGTGTGTAGAAAGAGGCAAAAGAACATGAAGGTGGGACGAGGGTTGACACCTCTAGAAAGTTGATTTGCACCGCCGGGGCAAAATCGACGTACGTTAGTGTGAATAAACTTTGTAAAGCATATTACCCTGTTGTACACTATATTTGTGATAAGCATGCGTATCGGTGGATTCCAAGTGTCCACAAGTGAAAAAAAACGCTGAAAAAAAGTAATCAAAATATGTTTTTAAAAGCTAGCTTGGAATTCTGCTGTGCCCCGACGTCGCAACATGGATACGGGTTCTCGCCACACGCTCACGCAAAATATTCGAACGCTTCCACGGCCGCCCTACACTGTAACTGCATTGGAGATGCAGAATCGGTCGCACAGAATGTTTTGGTGACGCAAAAGCGGCCATTTCGGAAGTTATTATGCCCGACGTTATATCAGCTAGCCAGACCACTGCGTAAAGTCACCGTGATTAGTACTTTACCCCGACGTCAAGATATAGTGTCGATGTCAGTAGGTGCGCCGTTAAAATCTAAATAAAACATCTTAATCAGCATTCGCTGAGCTGCACACTTGCTCAGAGTCGTATTCGAAAAAATTGTGTCAGCAACCCTTTGGCGGAATGCACCCGAGCCTACACGGGCAGGAATGCCCCGTGTACCAATAGCCAGGAACACTACGAGACGTAATGACGAAGTGTGAATTTATCAAGAAGCGCCCATCAACCCTTCTTTTGTCACCCTATCCCACCCTTTAGATGGCGGTGATTGATCTTGCCGTCCAGCCCTAGCCCTGCAGGACCATGCTGAGGCTCGTCGCAGAAGCGTGTGGATTCTAATGAAGATGGGGCCACTATATATACCATTCGGCGCATGCGTCGAAAAGCTTGTTAATAATGATTTTTTTAAAGGACGGAGCGCTTAAGGGATTCGGGCTGTCGTGTGCTGTCATCGTACGATGTCATCGTTCGGCGTAACGCAGGCGAAGCCACGTATGACAATAGAAAAAAATAGAGGAAACGAGCAAGAAATAGATTTAGAAGGAAAAGAAATGAGAAAATGTAAGAAAAGTAAAAATAACGGCAAAGAGGAAGAAATAAAGAGAGAAGAAGAAATGAATATAATTAAATAAGGAAGGAAAAGCAGAAAAATAAACGCACGAAGAGAAAAGGAAAGAAAAAAAAACCGCAGAGAAACAAAAAAAAAAAGGATGCCCAGCTCCGCCCCCCCCCCCCCCCTTTTATTTATGTTTCGCACCACTTAGTGCAAAGCTGCCTGAATTTTTTTTTTCATTCAGTTCAGTTCTCGTATGGGTAATCGTATATCCATCCCCGGACTGAAAGCTATAGGGGACACGTGACTCGAGGCATGTGGGCGGCAAAGTTTAAAAGTGCTCCAGCAGCTGCGCTTCTTGGAGTCGTTCCAGATATTCCAAGATGCGGTTCCTCTGCTGTTGTTCCTCGTTCGCGGTCTCTTTTCTTTTATACAAGGGTTTTGCGGGTGAATGTTTTTTTATGAACACCCAAAGGTTCTTCGTTGCGCACGAAAAAAAAAATTAAGGTCAACTATATCGCGAAACCGAAACTGCGGACCTAAAGTGCTGTTACCCGATCTGAAAAAAAAAAACTAATAAAATCCGTTCAGTAGTGGTGGCTGCGTTGGTGTACGCAACTTCTTCGTGCTAGTTAACTTGCGGTGAAATGAGACAGAAATAAATTGCTCTATTAAATAAACTGAACCTTCTCGGTAATCAAAATGCCTTGATTTAAGTGTGCAGCGTATGACTTTATAGAATCGATCACAACGGTGAAGACACTGAGATGTTCGATCGGTCGGTGGACGGGCCGCGTTTTAGGACCAAAGTCAAAAGTGTTAGGTCTTTTTTCCCCGAAATTGAGTATACAACAAAAAACTACTTGCGCCCACATTTGGAGCCCATGATTTTGTTCTGTTTTTTTTATGTCATTGGGCACGAACAGTAGACTGCACAAAAAGTAGATATTTAGTTGCATGCTAACTACAAATAATGACTGAAACTCACTCAGAACAACACATGCTTTATTACTCCTATTAGCGCGATTCCTTTCCCGACATCAAGCTTGCCCAAGGCAAGTTTGGGATCAAGTCCCAAGCACCGGCGTAGCTTAGTGGCAGAATACTGGGCTGGCACGCAGCGGATCCTAGCTCGAGCCCCCCCTGTCCTTGGTGCTCAGGTATTTTTTTTTTCTCATCTTTCGTGATATCGGTTACGGACACCAGCGGCGGCGGCGGACAACTACGGCGCCTCGCGTGACCCGATTTTTGATCTCATAACAATTTTCGCTGTAAAAAAAAACAACATAGAAGGACATGTTTTCTTTTCGAGGTTTCCTGGAACGAATAATTTTTCTTCTCCTGCGAGTGTAGCAGCGCTGTCGCAGAACCGCATAGGCTGCTGACTTAAAGGTCACGTGTTCGATCCCGGCTACGGCGGTCACATTTCGATGGAAGTGAAATTCTAGTATATAGTATGCTAATAGCTTCAGTGCTTGACTGCTTCTACATTGAGTCAAGCAAAACCGCAACGCTGAGAAAACGGCAACAAGGCTTACGTTACGTTTTTTTTTTTTGCCCTTCGGATTTCCAAAACAAATGTTCTCAAAGCTCCCCGAGCCTTTACGAGTAAACGAGGACCATTTTTATGTTTTTTTTTTAAATTTCAATATCTTTTACGTCATGAAAAAAATTAAATCAAATCGTGTGCGGCTGGTAGTGAAATGAAATCTAAGAACTGCGGGGTGCGGTCCTCAGTGCAAAGCTCTTCGGTTATAGTGCTAAAATTTCCCTATGCCCCGTGAGTGCGACGACATCGTTAAGAAAATGTCTTGTAAAGTTTACCTACCTAATTGGTCGATTACACATTCGGCATTATGTTTTCTCGTGCAAGCACTGGCATTCTCATCAAAAAAATCTTTTTATGCATTATCAGTGCTTTATATGTACCATAGATAATCTGCAAAAAAAAAAATACTCGGTAATTATTTTTAAACACATCATATTGTACAACGAAATAGAGTTGCAACCACTAACTTTAGAGCCGAAATTTTAGTAACACAATATTTCTGTAAAATATTTTGCTTGTTTACCACCATCTGCGCAGTAAACAAGTTTTTTATTGAACATTATTTATTTATTGAAGGACATCGAAACGAGAATACGCATACAATGCGGTATCACCCTTTGTGAACTGCAGAGCTGCAGAGAGTAGAAAGTGAGTAAATGCATATTACCCTGTGTATAAAATGTCTATTACCCTATAATACACCATGAAAAACACTCAGCCAATTTCCCCGTGCTGTGCCATTTGCGTCGTCCAGAGTGCAACAGGCTAACCACAGGCCCGGCAGTGTCTAGGCTGTGCGGATTTTAACGTACGTGTAAATGAATCGCGTTTCGAAAGTGCGAAGCCCGGATTGACCACCACAGCGCTTGTGACGACAGTAAATGAGATTATCGCCGACTGGTTTATCTCGTTAGCACAGAGATTAGCGCTTCGACCTGTCTTACCGTACAGTCTCGAACAAACTTATCCCGACTAGTGAGTACATCGGCTTTATGCACTTTATATAACTTGTAATAACTATACAGGGTAGCATTTCTCACGCGCTGCGTAAAGCAACGCAGTTTTTTTTTTTTTTTTGCTGAACGTGGTCAATTTGATACAAACTCTGTCGCATCGCTGGTAGAAGTAGACTTCGACGGCGAAACAAAGAATAAAGATTGTGAACCACGTGTTGTCAAGGAAGGAATCGTTTACCTAAATCCGTAGAGAACAAAACGCCAATCTCTAAGGTTGAAGGTCACGTATGTACAAAAACGAAACAATTTGCACTCACCATTTTGAGTACTGTCGTCTGTCTCGACTTCAGGCTTCTGCAGCAGACGATGCTTCAAGAACGTAGTAATCCTGCCCGCAGACGACAAACGGTGCAGACGACAATGGTGCAGCAGACGAAAAGAAACACAGTCAAGCTCCTCGTGGACGCGTCTTTTGGGGGTGCGATTTTTTACACAGGCTCACTCCGGGGGCCAACACACTACGCTTTAGCCCCGTTTCTCAAAGCCGACGATGCCAAGCTAAGCAGAGAAAGGAAAAAAAGAAAGAGAGAACATCGGAAAAGAAGTCAACCGCAGCAGAGATTTCGTCGTTGCGCGCGGGACCACGGTCAAGACAGCGAACGACGACGCATCGCCCGGATAGTCTGGTTCACTTCGGCAGCAGACGACAAAAGAGCGCTAGCCTGGCTCACCGCACGAAGTCAGCGTCCCGCAGTGGTCATACCCGGTCGACGGAAACGAGCATTATGTCGAAACACCCACAACACACCACACGCGTGCACACGAGCTGCTCTTGGGGGTGATGGTGGTAGTTCTTTTTCTTTTTTTTTTCTCGCGCTGGCCTGTTTGTTTCTCTCTTCGTCCGGGACGGAACAGTTCCTCACGCGCGGCCCCGCTCTCCCTGGCTGACACCCCCGGCTAGCGGGCGGGCTTTCAAAGTAAGTTCTATTTTCGTATCCAATTACGAAGCGCTAACAAAAAAGTTGCCGCCGACGACGCGCGCAGCGCCGCGGTGGCAGGCGGCAGCGACGCTTTCGTTTTCACCGCTTGATTACGCGACCACTGCGCCCTCTCGTAAGGATTCACGCTACTAAGTGGAATGAGGCGGATGGTGACGGAGAGCGCTTCCCCGCGTGGGGCAAAGCGGCTGCCGATGAAGCGGTGTTTTGACGTTGTACTGACAAGAACATAACGTCTTATGCGCGAGCAACACTGCAATTCACTATATCGCAGTGTAGGTACACGCTAATTACCCGGCAGGGCGACGCGGTAGGCCGCAGGCCTTGGGAAATCATTCTCTCTCGATTTTCCGGAGTGATTTCATGAAAATAAGAGTTGATAAATATAACTGCTCGGCGTATGATTTCTATTACACCTAATATACGCAGCTTGTAAATTCAAAAACGCAATTCATCTGTTATCTACGACAGACACAGAGCACTAAAAATATTTATACGTTGCCGTAACCTAATATATTAGCACATGGTACACTTCAAGCTATGCCACGAAAGTTTGCACGTACAATATTAGCAAAAAGAAGAAAAAAAAAAGCCTGCAATTTCAAGGGCTATGAGTGATTAATATTTCAGCTCAAGTTAATGCAGCTTAACAGGTTATGTCTCAAATGTAGACCACCACTTACGTACTCATCTGTAGGAAGAATGTCGATGGCTTGCCGAACAAAAGTTTCCAGACAATATGATTTAAATTTAAAGGTGTTTTCAGACAACGCACGCACGCTATAACACGTTATAAGAGTATCATAGGTTACTTATTTGATCAGTGTTATTGCAGAAAACAAAGCAAAAAAAAAGTTCACGTCATTCATCCTATCGGTATTTGATAGGCCGATTCATTTGTAGGCACATAATTTACCAACAAATATTTTTTTACGGAATACCAATTATTGTTTATCCAAAGATTGTCTTATCAAATGAAACATATGACCTAAAGGAGAACGCAAAAAAACAACAACAAATAGACTACATAATTAGTACAGTTAGAACTACTAGTGCATTTTGGACATAGAGGTACTAGTTATCGTTTTGCTGCGCACTAGGCGAAAATCACTATTGTTTTGAAAAGTACACTTTATAAGTCTGTGCATTAAGATAAACAAATCTTCCTGGCATCTCCGGCATGGTCTAGTGGTTAGGATACCTGGCTCTCACCCAGGAGGCCCGGGTTCGATTCCCGGTGTCGAAACATTTTTTTATGTTTTGTTTTTTTTTTTAACTTGCGCATTATACGGGGTCTCCGTGCCACCCACAATCGCTGATCCTTCAAGATTCTGAATGTGGTGGTTTGCATCGTCTGTTCAGTATTGTATATTAATTTATCTACCTACCCGTTTTATGTATGGTGCCGCTGGAGCCATTAAATAGGTATAAACCTCAAAGACAAGACAAATTCGTTGTTTTAACTGACTTCAATTGTCAAAAGCTGCGACTACACGATATTTCTATTCTCAAAATACTTTAGAATAGTTACACTTTTCGTATGTTACAAACAAAGTATAATCTATCTTGAAACCATTGCAACCTTATAGAACTATTTTACCATAGGGCACTGTTAGGATAGGTACATGCAATGGCATTGTGAATGTCGCACTTTTAGCTTCGGACCATGGCCACTGTTCGTTGTAAGCAGTGCTCCACCACTCCAACTTAGTGCCCTGTAAAGGTTGTTTTGCTGCACAATAACAATGCGAAAGGTGAAACAAAACGTTCCGTTCGTGACGCACATTTGAAAACATTTCAAACGCAATGCTACATATCGACGCGTCTCCCCGAATTCCTACACGACAATTCACTATTTAGACACTGTAGCATTAACGCATTCAAGCCTAAACAATATTAAAACATCACCATTTGTTCAAACATGCTCCCCTAAACATATAAAAGGTCGGCATATTCACCAACTATATACTTATGGCTTACTTGTCCCAAAAAGCACTAAGCTCGTATGAAGGTAAAAAAGTAAAATGCACGTTAGTGAAACTTCCAGTTTGCGAAGTAGTTAATCAGTAGTGCTGGCTCAAATCATCAATAATAATAATTTTTTTAGCTTAATGCGCGTTTATATGCGCAGGTGCCATACATATTGCAACGTGCTTGCATTAAGCATATTAATATCATATGTTCCATATCACGATGATTCTATTAAAAAGTATGTACAGAATAATAGGCAGTGTGCTATTGTACACGTAGATTAATCAGTGGTAACTAATTACTTCATGTAATTAACAAGACAAGTAAGCATTACAGCAACATACATAGAGGCATGGACGAATCACAGGCGAGTGCATACAGACAAACGAGCAGACAGAATATGATGACGTAGCTGGTATCTGCTGTAGCAGCTGAATGCAGACTACTTATGCTCTTCCTTTGAAGTAGCACATTGTGTACTGTTTACCAGCCATAAAATTTGCAAAAAAAGTAATGGACGTTTGGTACACATCATCGTCTGCCCTTCTATTTGCACATATGTGTGTCATCGCATAGCACGAAAATTTATTTTAAAGTATTCCACGAAATTACGCTTGGTCTATCGAAAGAGTGTGATGATTTCAGCAAGATATACGGTGGTGTTAACGAGAAATCTGGCAACGTATGCGGCTTAGTAGTTACCCAGCTTAACAGATGAAGAAAGCTTCCCTGGTGAGAAACAGCAAAAGTTTCAGGCTTTACTAGCTGCTGGTTATAGATGCCGTGAAGCTAGTGAAATACGCTCGAAACAAGTAAATACATGTGTTTCCAACTGTTTACTAACATTTTTTTCTCTAACAGTGTGCTTACCATGCAAATACTGTACGTAGCGGGACAACGGCTCTGATGGGAATTCGTAGTGTGGTTGTACTGTACGAGGCATGTCATCAAGCTACTTTCCCTGGACCGCTGTAACGTCTTTTGCGTACTTTTGCAATTCTGCATGCATCTGATGACATTAGCATTATGGGGCGTTCATTAATAGCTTGAGAAAACTAACAGGAATCCAACCGCCGAAATGGAATTTCAATAAATTTTTGGGCTGCAAAACGTTACATTTTGAGCAGGTTATGGTGAAAATACATTTATTTTTTTTATCACGAAAAACTAAATTCGCAGCAACATGCAAAAGAAGGCTTACACACACACACACACACACACACACACACACACACACAATATATATATATATATATATATATATATATATATATATATATATATATATATATATATATATTATATATATATATATATATATATATATATATATATATAAACATTTAAGATCCCCTAAATTATGCAGAGGGAATGGGAGCATCTATTCCCAGAGAATTGTATGTTGTATTTTTAACAACCCCAATCGATGGTAAAGTCCACAGTGACATTTGACGCTCCCGTCGAATCTTTTGAATGACCCTGAGAATTCAAATGCGGATCTACCAAGCTGGCCACTTTGAGATTCAGGAGATTAGTAAAACTGAGAAGTCGAGCTAGCGAAAAAAAAAATGGCACACAGTTTTGTTCAATTTTTTAGGGCTGCAGAAATGTCATACAGTGCTCCGAAAGATTGCCAATAACTTATCCACTCATCGACAATCATATTACAGCTCGTAATTGTGCGGCATATACACGCATGAGTAATCGAGCAAACTGTGATGTGCCCCATGACTAGAGATAACAGCCCCTTCCAAATCCTAAAGCGCCTTTTTGCAGTCCACTAGTGTACTGCGGCCAAGGTGGCTCGAGTGGCGTTCTGCACGAGTGCCGTAGTACAAGGCCAAAACTTTTTTCGAACCGCTGCCCACACCCCCCACAATGGTCTAGTGGCTGGGGAACTTGGCTGCTGACCCGCAGGTCGTGGGATCAAATCCCGGCTGTGGCGGCTGCATTTCCGATGGAGGCAGAAATGTTGTAGGCCCGTGTACTCAGATTTGGGGTGCACGTTAAAGAACCCCAGGTGGTCGAAATTTCCGGAGCCCTCCACTACGGCGTCTCTCATAATCATATGGTGATTTTGGGACGTTAAACCCCACAAATCAATCAATCAAAAACCCAGGTGGTCGGAGCAGCGGTTTTGGGACGTTAAATCCCGACAAATATTCTGCCTTCCGCTACACCACCCTCCCTTTTTTTTTTTTACGATGGAGTTACGTCTATGGCCCGACTTGGCTAACTTGCAAGGCACGTTTGACTAGATAATGTAACACAGGCACGCGCCCGTCGGCCTGGTGAGCGCACTGGATATCTATCGCATGTTCCGTTGCTATGGCAACGTGGCCGCTGCCAAGTCCGGTGTTCGCGTGCAGTAATATCGGCCTACGCTTGCAACTTTAGTTGCTAACATGCCATAGACACGTTCGCTGACTAGAAAATTCACATTTCCCGCAAAGTGTGGCTGGCTGTGGCAACGCATTTTTGTCTTGACGTTGCGTCGTCCCGCCAACACATATCCGTTGTTGTGGCCAGTGTACCGATCAGTGCGTGGTGTCGTTACTTCATCTGGTCGATCACGTTTCA